TCATCTTATATTTGTGAATAAGAAAGTGAAGGAACAAGTCATTGTACATTAGTTACTCCATGGGAAGTGCCTAAGTGCAGTTTCTTACCCCCGGTGAACACAAGGGGATTCAAGGCAGCTTAGCCTTCTGTTCAAGAGCCATCTGCTTTAATGCATCATGTTAAAGTCAAGGTCTTGAAAGGAAAAATGCTGCCACAGAAGGCAAAAAGCCTCCTGCAAGCACCACACAGAATAACTAGCATCTAAGGAAAAGCAACCTATGGAGGCGACCCCAGAACGGGAAGAAGGATCACTGTGTAACAGGGGTGTGCAAATCAATGGTTTCAGTTATTGGAAAATAACATGTATTGAAAAACGAAGATTTCAGTAAGGTAAAAATGTACAATCTTATCTCTAGCAGATCTCTGCACCCTATCTTGAATCCCCTTGCTACAGATTTTTTTTTTTTCTCCTGGGAAGATTTTCTTTTTAATATGTGAGTAAAGCAGAACAAACTCTCTCATGTTGTCTATGATCTCTTAATCTCAAACTCAGCACAGATACATAATACTGCTTAATAGAGGATACTGCTTAATAGATACATAAGATACTGCTTAATAGAGGAAAAGCAAGAAGCATTTGATTAAGTGTTTGATCTCTTGAGGAACGCACAGACGCTGTAGAGCATGATGCACCGCTCACAAATATTTTGTGTTTTATTATTGATTAAAAGTGATTAAAATTAATAATTCGTTCAACTGATAAAAAGTACTTTCCTCCTGAACTAACCCTGAAAATATATAAGATTGTTCTGGTTGCAGAGAAGTCTGGGATAGAAAAAGTGCAGAATTGCCTCTGTAGTGTCATCTTCCACAGTCAGCACCCACTGCAAGTGCAGGGACATTCTTTGCAGCAGGACCACCCATGACTTTAGGAGGCTGAAATGACCACTGACAGCTCTGTTTTAATTATGCTGATTATAAATAGGTATGGTATTAAACCAAAGCTCTCTGGACATTGTGGGGTTTTTTTTAATTTTATCACACCTCTTTCACAGTCTGGACAAAGTGAATGTAGCATGCTATTAAATCTGAAGCATTCCATCTTCCTTCTAGTTGGAGAGGTGTACATTATTAGTTAAAATGCAGAGAACAGGATCATATGTTCATGTCCCACATCACTGCGGTGTTGGCACTGACAAAGTTTCAGCTCGTGACACAGCAGAAGCCCTGGTTTTCTTCTGGGAAGAGGCACAGCCTGTTTCAAGGGGCTACAATGGAATAATGAGCTCATCTACACGAGCCAGCTAAAAATGGAACACAACGGGAAAGGCCTTTAAAATTTTTCCATCCACAATAATAAGCGTTGGGACCGCGAAACCAGGCGGTCACAAAGAAAGGGTAGGTGTCCCTGGCTACTGATGCAACATCTCCACTTACACTGCCCCCGTACCCCATCCCTGCCCTCCACTCATCATCTGCTGGTGTCTCTGGTCCAGTTTCCCTGGGAAGGACAAAGGCGCAAGAACAGCCAAGGCCACCATGCTAAACTTCTCTCCTGAAGCTTGTCAGGAGAGTTTCTCAGGGAATAAAGTACGAATGGAGCTGGAGACAGTGATAAATTTCCCTTCTGAACAATCAATAAAATTCTCTCAGCCCCGCTCAGGCCCCTACTGCGGATGCAAGGGCCATAATTACATTGTCAAAAAGTCGAGTTGCCCTGGCTGACTGAAACCCCCTTTAAAACTGACATGTGATTGACAGGCAGTTTATGGGTGGCACGCTCTGACTGGCAGGGGAGTTGGCTAAAGCCAAAGGCAACAGTGAAATTTCCCAGTCTGCTACAACTACCGGAGCAAAGGACTGCCACTCACAAGGGAATTGTGGGAAACCCTTAGTCATATTAACATATCAAAGTGAGGAGCTGACAGCGCTTACTAAACAATCTGAACTCAACCATGGCTGCAGAGCATCCCCCAAACTTCCCAGTCTGAAAGAGAAATTAAAATGTGCTCCATCCTGTCTTCACCAAGACAACTGAGAATTTGGAAGTCTGCTTATTTAATGATTTTGATCTGAGATAACATATATATGCGTGTGTGTGTATATATATATATATGCATCTCACAAACGTCTATTGCTGAGCATGTCAGCCTCTTTCATACATATATGAAAGAGGCTGTCATGCTCAACAATTTGTTCTATACCACAGGCCAGACTGGTACTAAATTGGAGACAGAACAACATGTTTCTGCCTCATGTAAGCAATATGAACCCAGCAAAAGAACACACTCCTTTTGGTCTTGTTTTCTAGTGGGCGTCTACTGCTTCAATGTTAAATTGCAGATTACATGGTTTGAATGGATCTTAATTGCAGCCATGCGCTGGGACTGTACGTAGTGCAGAGCTTAAAAGTGACTTCATAGCTAGTCTAGTTTTCTTGAATTGATAAGAATTCTTGACTAAGAATTAATAAAAAATTGAAACCAAGAGATGCTTCCACTAATGGGTCAGTCCACATATCTCCATCCAAAGCTTGAGCTGCAGACATCACCTTTTTTGGTTTCCTCAGGAATGAAGAATCTGCTGGGAATTACAGCACTGGGTATGAAATGTCAGTGAGAAATGCCTTGAGGGTGCTGACATGGACACCCTGGTTTACTTCCTTCCATCGTATTGCCAAGGTAACACCAAAAGATATTTCTGCCCTATCTGTCTCTACAATTTCATGGGTTGGCCATGAGGATGGAGTCAACAAGGCAGTTATGATACGGGCTCAGAATGGAAAGGAGAAGCAGCACAGGACGCACAGCTGCAAGGAGATGCTACTGACTCTTCCTACACTGCTAGAAAACAAGATAGCATGAAGAAGACAAAGCTCTTGTTATAAAGTGCTGACAATTTAAGGATAAAGTCCAGACTTATAGGGGTCAAACCAAGAATGGAAGAATATTTTAAAGTAGCAGGAGAAGACACAGAAAGCAAAGCAGCAAAAACCATTATCTGGCAAATTCAAATCAGATATTTTAATACTTTTCTTGTAAAAGAAAAAAAAAATGGATGATTAACCAAATTAATCCCCTGGAACAAGCTTCTACAGAAAATGCTGGCTTCCATTTCCCTTGATGTCCTCAAAGACCAAGCCTTTCTGGAAGGCATGCTTTAATCTAATGCATGCTACTGAACTCAAGGCTGGGATAACTGTGTGAAACTCAATGGTGAGTGACGGACACTCAATTCAGCCTGGATGATCTAATAGCGGTTCTTCACAGAGCTCCTCTAGGAAATGGGGTAGAAATGCTCTGCCCTTCTGCAAATCCAGTTTACTGAAATTATTAAAACCGTTTATAAGCACTAAACTAGCCTCGCTGTGCCTCGATGAAGTGATCAAGAGCACGTGGCGTTCGGGAGTGGTACAGCCCCCCCTCCCTTGTCACTGCCAGAAGCACCTTCCCCATCCTCCGCTGATCTCTCCTGATTCAGAACAACATCTGGTCACTGACTCCACTCCAGCAACTGACCCTTCCTGACCTTGCTCGGCTCCTGTGGACTGCCAGGATTACCACCCAGCCGTACAGCTCCCTCCCTGTCTGTGCTCAGACTGTACCCCTCAGCCTCTGACATCATTTCTGACCGAGAGCCCTACTTGTCAGTGATGCTCAGGTAGCAACATTCCTGCCTGTAGGCCAGGGGGGTGTAAGTTCAAGCCCTGCTAGAGGATATGAATGTATGAACGCCTACCAATATGAAGGTTGACACACAAGTACATAAGGGAGGGATATGAGGCATTCAGATATATTGGCTTCTTTTTTTTTTTTTTTCCTCCTCTATGACACATACTGCCTTTAAAAACAACTCATTAATTAAGACCTTGACATGCATACATTGAACTAATATTCTGATTCATGCTGTTTGGACCTGAATTCCATATCCAATCTACTGCACAAGAAACGGCCATTTCATGCTTCATAGCCTTCCAAAGAAAGCTCTGTATTTAAATTCTTCTACGCCACAACATCTACAAATCCACAGCCACTTTCTGCCCTTTCGGTCCCTCATCTCTTCCACTTTGTATGAACATTGAGCTCTGGCCCTGCAGAGCTTCCTTTGAGAGAAAGGTCTAGTGCTTAGAGCAGAGGAATGGGCATCTAGCACTGAGATTCTTGGCATTGCCACAGTTTTTTTGCATAGCCCTGAACTTGTCATTTATGACAGCAACTTATGCTGGGCAGGTGATGCTCTGTGGACCACCAGGAAAACAAAGAGATGCCAGCTGTGCTCCTAATGCTAGAGACAGACCACTGGCATTGGGATACCACCACAGCATAGAAAGATGGAGAAAAAGGGAAACTACACTGCCAGGAGCACTTTTCTGGTGTTTCGAGAAGTATCATCCCTACCCCAGCTGGCACAGGTTACTGACTGCAGCATGCTTTGCGTTGGCCTCACCATGGGATGCACCTGGCAGACTTCCCTCTCTTGGAAACCCCAAGAGCCATCACCCTCTTTGGGTAGGAAACTTCCCAGTTGTTATGGAGAGAGATGAGGGGAGAAGGACACCCTATTCTAGGAGCAGAGCAAATCCATATGAGTCACCACAGAGATCTGAGGTCATTTCCAAGAAACAGAGACTTTCATTTGTGGACAGACGTGCACAAATTCAAACACCTTCTAGGCACCCAAATGACGGACAGTGTTTCGTAACTATTTGATACCATCTATCTTCTCGGTGTCCGGATTTTCAAAATGCCTCAGCTCCCATCATGGGAGCTTTTATGGAGATACACCACTGAACTTTCATGCATAAGATACTGCAGAAATAAGAGTCTGATGGAGAATGCAAAGATATGAAGTTCTGACCCAAAAACCCAATTTCAACATATACTTAACTGCAATTAGAAATCCATGACCATGTACTTAGTTGTTTTGTTGTTCAGTTTTTTCAAAAAAAATTTTTGCTTTGTTTTGTTTTCTTTTATTCATTTGCGCTTTGCTTTTGAAGAGAAGAAAAAACGTACTCACCGTGAATGGAAAGGGTCCCATTCCTCACTGCCAGGAACTTGACCCCGTATGGAAATAATGGCGGAGAATGGAGGCTTCCATAGAGATAGATGTGTGCTTTGTGACGGAAAGGGGCCTCAGGGGATCCCACCTGGAGCTCTCCTCCATCAGATATCAGAATGTAATGAGCATGGAGTTCTACAGGTCCTGGACCAGTGAACAAGAGTTTGCCACCTGAAGACAACAGAAGAGCAAAATGGAACCATAGATCTAATAGCCAGCCGTTATCTCACAGTCAGGGGAATTGTAAGAGGTAGGTAAACAAATGGTCTTGCAATAAAGTTATGAGATTAAGGGTAATATGTTATTGCGTCCTGCGAAATTACTACCTTGCCCTGTACTTCTCCCTGTGAATTTACCAGCTCTTTACAGACTTTATTAATTCCGTCCATTTTTTTGATGCTACCACAGGCTGCCTTTCTAGACTTGAGCAAGGCCATTCAGCCTGGGCACACCTCGAAATCTCTTTCATTCCAGTGCGAGGCAGCTGTGTTTGAAAAATTCCAGTTTTAACCTGCTCACTCTCTAAATGTTAAAAAGGGTTATTACTACTCAATTTGTACATTACTTTTCAGATTACAAACTACTTGTGACAAGGAGAGGTGAGGGCAAAACAGCTTTGGAACATAAGAACCGGCAACTTATTTAGATCAGCGGTTCATTTAATCCTGGATACCCTTCCAGCTGCTGTTCAAAACCAGATGCTTCCAAATACAGTATAAGAAATTTCTCCTTCTTAGCTGGATGTGAGATGATCTCCCCATCCCATGAAAGCCTCATTTTAATCCCTAATTAGAGGTTAGCTTCTCCTCAAAGCATAAGGTTTCATCTCCTTGCCAATGTTTTCCTTTAACCATCTACTAGTATAACTGGATAAGATTTGTCAGTAATATAGATCTGATCCTTCAAGTCTTTCTCATAGTTAGTCTCAATAACTCCTTGAAGCAATGAATTCTGTGGTCTGAGTATGAAAAGGCATTTCCATCCTTTGGTTTCCACTCAGTCTCTTCAGTTCTGTCAAAAGACTCCGTTGTTCTTGCCTTGTGTGAGCTGGTGATCCCAGTCTGGCATTTCAGGATGGTTCACTCTTTTACCTCCCTTTATATTTTCTTCCCTATGAAGGACACCGTTACTTTCTTTACAATGTATTTGGACAGAGTGGACTCTCACATATCTAATCATTCTGCACACGGGACAGGTCTTCCTGGGTCAAGCCACACTTCCCCGGAGCTAGTAGGGGATACCTCAAAGCCTGGCAACCCCAGACCTCTTTACAAAGGGTCTGTCACCCTCCCAAGCTTTCGCTTTATGCAAATTATCTAATAACTTTGCCATCTCATACCATGGCCAGCTTTCTACTGGTGTTAGCAGTTTTCAATGGTGACCTTTATACCTACCTGTTGACTTTTGTTCCCCATAAGATACTACCAATCCTTAGCAAGCAGGATAAGGGAGATCAGACCTCTGCTTTAGTTTCAGTATTGAGAAAAAAAAAGCAGGGAAGAAGGTTTTTTTTAATATAAAAATCAGATTAAAAACTACCTTCATCATTGCTCACCTTTGATCAGGTCTTGCTGCTCCCCGTGATAAGGGAGATGCATAACACTGGTGTGCCTTTCCCAACCAGTTGTATCTACTCCTGCTGAACACATTCTGCTTATCCTGATCTCCTTATTTATTCTTGCATTGTGGGGCTTTCACTGTTTCATTGATTTCTTAGTCTTACAACAAAGTCTTATAACTTAGTTGTAGTTTCTCAGACTCATAACAAAGCTAGTATTTGAATAAGGACTAGCCATTAAATATTTTCTTTCGGGATTTGAGTGGATTCCACTTAAGTTTTTACAGAATATGCTTAATAGACGAAAAAGATAAATCTCACATTTTCTTGCTTATAAGCACTGGGAACCATGGGAGTGCTCCCACAAACACCAACTCCCTTATGTGTAAATTGTCTCTTTCCCTAGACATACTCTTCTATATACAAAAGTATTTCTGTTAAGCTTGCTATAGAGTGTTACACATTATACTGAATATAAAACAGCATAAATTTCATCTTGTTTCATGCAAAACAACAGAATATATCTGGCTTCTATTCTGAGATGCAAACTTCTAGAAAAGTGAAATGTTCTTAATACAAAACGTGCCAGGCTGAAATTGGGATAATACTTGAAAGTTTTCATCTGAAGACTGAAGAGACCGTTAGATCACGTCGCCTGGCGGCCTGTGCACATCATGCTATTGAAAAACTGGAGGAAGTCAAGTCGTCCGTGTTTGACTGCTGCACGCCCTCCGGAAAGGCAGACAATCAATTAAGTGACTTGGGGACACCACTCTACTATTTTCCGTGATCGTCTTTTCTGACAGCTAATTCCTCTTACTGTTCATAATTTCTGCTTTATTTCCAATCATAACTTGTCAAGAATGAGCTTTCAGACAGTGGTTCTCTTTGGATCCTCCCGCGCTGCACTGAAGAGAGGTGTAGAAAACAGCATTTTCCGTGAAAGTACTTACAGGTAAAATCAAATCTCAGCCCTCATTCAGATAGGTTGAGAAGGTTTTTAAGACCCTCCCTGTGAGGAATCATCTCCAATTCATGAAGCGGTGCTTCTACAGCCCTCTGTAATTTCCCATGTACTCTGAAATTAATATTTGTGGGCCACAAAATGCCTCTACCAGCAGTTTTAAAGCTCTTGAATGAAAGTGGACCTGTTGATGTAAGAATGTGTGTTCCTTATTTAACATCTTCAGTATATATTAACATTATTCAGTAATAAATGGACTCCTGGTCCATCTCCCTCTTGTAATATAATTTACCATCCTGTTCTTTCCCTCACTGAGAACAGAAATATTTATTAAATATATTTGCCTTATAGCATCAGTGTTAATAATTTTATCACCGCAATCTAGAAATGGAACTATAAATCACTGAGATTTATTTTATTCCTAACACACAAAAAAAAGACATCTTCCCCAAGGTCTTTATTGACTTCCTATGCTCTGTTCCCACTGAAATATAGTCATTTCTGTTTCCATTTCTCTCCATACAATTTTTAATGAGTGTTCTAATTGCTGCCACATTGTACCACTGAAGCAGGAAGGCTGACAGCCAGAGTTGTCCTATATTTTTTGATTGCAAATTCATAGCTCTGCCTCAGACAATGTCCCCAAAAGTTTTCCCAAGTTTCAGTCACATTTTGTCCATCCAAAATTTTCAAGCTGTCTGCAAGACACGTTAGAAATATTAAATTCCTTGCACAAACCCTTTTCTCCCCTCCCCATGGAATGACAGGGATGGGGGAAGGATGGGATGGGATGTGCCTCTTTAACCTAGTAGTGAGCAACAGGACAAGAGGGAATGGCCTCAAGCTGCACCAGAGAAGGTTTAGACTGGATATTAGGAAGCATTTCTTTCCAGAAGGGGTTGTTGGGTGTTGGAATGGGCTGCCCAGGGAGGTGGTGGAGTCCCCATCCCTGGAGGGGTTGAAGAGTAGAGTCAACACAGCGCTGAGGGATCTGGGGGAGTTGGGAACTGTCAGTGTGAGGTTAATGGTTGGACTGGATGATCTTCAACCTAGGTGATTCTGTGATTCTGTGGGATGGGGTGCCTAAGTCCTTTTCTTTTTGCAGACATCCCAATGCATCTCAAGGTAGCCATGGAAAGACACTTATTTCCCATAAGGCTCTGGGATTTGTCTCATCATGCCCTGCCCCCAGAGGGTCTGTTGTATAACCGTAACACATAATCATTCCTCCTGAGACACAATGGAGCACATAACGGAGTCATACATTGCTACCAGTAGTACAGACACCTGCCTCTCTGGAAAACTAGCAAGGAGTGAGAAGAAGAGAGCTTTCACTGCAAATAGGGTCCCTCTTCCTGCAAAAACAGAGGCAGCTTGACCAGCTTAATGCTTTGGGTATGGGTGCTAACATATTCTGCACTGTCTCTTGTGCACTTTTCTGCACAAAGTGGCTTTAGCATGTCAGGAGTAGCTCACCCTCATATAGCTCCTAAAAATCACTGTCTGCCTCCTTACATATGACCGGTCTTCTGTGACCAGTTCTCCATCTCCCAGTCCTCTATCTCCCTTTTATTTCCTCTCTTCTTAAAATCTGTTACTCAGTAACAGGCTAACTCCATGTCCGTTGTCTGGAGTGATTTTCTCCTCTGTTGATTCAAAGATTTTCCATATCTTTTGTGGATTTCTGGGTGCCTGATAAGCTTGGATGCTGGCGACTGCTCTGCAGTGGGCACAAGTATGAGCAACAGTCCCAGCCCTTTTCAGCAGCAGCAGGCTGTGCAACACCTGGCCTGCAAAGTTTGACCCTTCCTGGGGAAAATCCTACATAGAAGCAAAGTTTCTCCAGCCTGGGTGAAGATTTGGATGTGAAGAGATAATAATAATTGGGCTTCAAGATGGGGGTTGTTGCCTGGTTGTTGGGTTTCTCTGTCCCTAGATGTAACAGGCAGCCCAAGCACACTTGGCAATGGTGCAAAGATTTGCAAGGTCAAGACCACCAGAAGGTATTTGCTCTACGTGATGCTTTGGCTTTCCCTTTGAAGCAGCAGTCAGACCCAACATGTAATTGTAGGAAACAGATATATCAGCTACACTCATGGTCACACCACAGTCGTTGTCCCCTGGCTATTTGCAAAGCTTCTGAACTCCTCCAGAACAAAGCCAAAAGGCACTCAGTCTTTGGGATAAAAGAAAGTGTAAAAAGAAAAGTTTAACTCCTGAAAATAAAAGGGGAGCAGCATCACAGGAAAGTAAAGAAAACATTAGCAGGGATTCATTTAACTGTTTACCAAGTCTAAGTGTAAAGCAAACTCTCACCAAACTTACAAAGACTTATGTCCAAAAATTGCATACTGTCCCTCCTAATCCTCAGCGCTCTGTATCTCTCTGTCTTTCACTGGGTCAGAATAAATATACAGCTGCTGTTTTACAAGATTGTCTTCCCCCTTTTTTAAAAAGAAAATAAAAGTTATGCTTCCTTCTTTTATTGCACTTGACCTTTCCTCTAAAAGCTGAAAGCAAGAATATTGCTCAACTGAACCTTTGGCTGTGACCCTCAAATTGTTTGTTATGGCTGCACAGGAAAGCAAAGTCCTACACATGACCTTGAGGGTGATTTTATAAAAATCAATCAACTACTGTTATGATGGC